AAGCTAGTGTCTCAGGTGAAAAAGATATTAAGGTGGAGGACAGAAACAGCAAAGGTCCTGGAAACTCGAACGAGGAGGGGAGTCGTCTTTCGAGCCGGTACAGGAAGCAGGAAAGCAGAGAGAGTGATGTGAAAGAGGACAGTGAGAAACAGGAAGACAACAAGATAAGAGACCGAAGAGAGAGCACAGGTAGCAAAACAAAGGATATGATCTCTAAGCTACAGGAAAAAAAGGATGACAGCAAAGACAGGAAAGAAGACTGCAGGAGAAAAGATGAAAGCAAAACCAAAGACATTATCTCGAAGCTACGAGAAAAACAAGAGAAGGAAGTCGGCAAGGAGAAGGACAGGCGATCTGAAGGTTTCAGGACATCGGGACTTGTCTCTAAAATGTTGGAGAAGCAGAGCAAGGCCCAAGAAAGCCCGGCTCCGGAGAGTAAACCCGAAGAGAAGAAGCCTAAAGCTGAGGAGAAGAAAGCTGAAGATACAAAGAAGCCTGAGGTGAAACTTGAGCGACAGGCATCAGAGAAAGGAGAGGTGCAGGTGAAACAAGACAAGGCCGAGAACAGAAGTGACAGAGAAGAGCTGGTTAACCATAGTGACCACGTCAAAGAGAAGGAGAAGAAAGTAGAGGAGAAAAAGGATGACGAGGAGAAAAATGAAAAAGTAAAGAAAGCTGAGGAAAGTGAGAAACTTGGCAACTGTGTGGCCAAAAACAGTCCAATCAGCAAGGCCAAGGAAGAGGAGGACGAGGAAGAAGACTCAAGCATGTTTGATGAGCTGATGGAGCAGGTTCGGAGCAACGACCCCTCCCTCACTGAGCTCAACGTCAACAACTCAGAGGTCATAAAGACGAAAACACTCATTGAGTTTGCAGAGGCTTTGCACAAGAACACCAATATTAAGAAGTTTGCTTTGGCTAACTGCCGTGCGGACGACCACGTGGCTTATGCCATCTCGGGCACGCTGCGCAACAACAAGACCATCACCAGCATCAACGTGGACTCCAACCATCTCACCGGCAAGGGCATCCTGTCTCTGATCCAGGCGCTGCCACACAACGCCACCCTGACTGAGCTCCGCTTTCAAAACCAGCGTCACATCTGTGGCGGGAAGACCGAGATGGAGATGACCAAGGTCCTGAAGGAGAACTTCACGCTGCTCAAACTGGGCTACCACTTCGAGTTAGCCGGACCCAGGATGACTACGACAAACATCCTGAGTCGCAACATGGACCGACAGAGGCAGAAGCGCCTGCAGGAGCAGAAGCTGGCCCAGGCCAACGGAGAGAAGAAGGGGGCGCTTGAGGTCCCCAAAACAGGGGGTGGAGGATCTCTGAGAAACTCGCCAAGAGCGTCCCCTAAACCTTCTCCCATACCCTCGCCTATGCCATCACCAAAGCTGACTCCTAAAAGAGGAGCTGGAGCTGGGGCTCCACCACCACCCCCGCCTCCACCTGGGGGTGGACCACCGCCTCCTCCCCCTCCCATGCTGAATGTAGACGCCCTGAGGAACTCTCTGACCCCCGTGTCCCAGAGGAAGCTGGATGGAAAAAGCCCGGGCGGTAGTGAGAACACGAGAGACCAACTGCTCGCCTCAATCAGAGGGAACACTAAGAAACAACTCAAGAAGGTACGTAGGGCTGCGCGGAAATATTGACGCACTTTGGGTATCACAATATTATGTTTTTGATACTATTTCAACATACTAATTGTATGAAAGGGAACATCTGTTTACTCAAATATGTGCAAAAACTATCAATAAGCACATACACAGGTCAACTGATGCATTTGTGCTAATTAGGGGATTCCCCTTTGATCTTTAGTGCTGTTGCGTTCAATGGCTTCCTGTTCTTACTTTGAAGAAGGTCTCTGCCCAAAAGCTTGCTTATTAAAAGATGTTTGCATCGATCTTTAGTGTGCAGATGCTCTTTTAAAATGTAAGTTTGATAGTCTATCACTTCATTTCCTCCATTACTGATGTTTCTCTATTTCAATCAATAGTTAAAACGATATGCAGTGTGTTAGTATACGTTTCATGTTACCTAATTTGGTAACCTAAACATCCTGCAAGCATTTGCTTACTGACATAGGAAAATGTGAATTCCTTCGCTAAAATTGCATAACATGTAGCACTATGATGTTGGATGGTACTGTGACGGGGGCTGGGATAAATGCAAACGCAGATCCCAGGAAAGCAAATGTATACAGTTTTCCTTCAAATGATATTTTAAGAATAACAATATGCTGCTACAAATAGAAGTGTCACACCTGTATAAGGATACTTATCGTATTGCCTGATTGTTGCCAATGCACAGCCCTGTGTATAAGGTTAGCTCTGCCATAATACATTCTCACATCACATACTTACATTTTATTCTTCCCACAGGTGGAAGTGCCAAAGTGGTTGCAATGATATTTCCTTTGGAATGTGCCATGAAAGGGAAGAAAGAGGGAGAAGTGGTTTTCAACATGAACTCTACACCCTCCAGATGCAGTTGAAGAATTGCACTTTGGGACGGAGAAAAGTGAAACATGAGATGCCCATAGGTCTGATGACGAGCCCTCACTATGAGTTCTCCCCTCAACACTGGACCAAAAGTACTCTGTGGGGAATGATGAGTGATGCAGGGCTCTCTGACAGCCGACTGCCACGTTCTGTGGTTGTTTGTCTTCAGTACATATTGCCGCTTTGCTGGTTATTTGCACTAGATAATAAGAAGCCCATCATATAACATGTTGGCTTCTGTATGCATCTGAATGTGAGCGTGATGAGAGTGTGATTAGTTTATTAATAAGAGATACAATGAATTCTTTATAAAATTCTAATATACAAAAAAAAGTTTATCGTTGATATAGTGGACATTAGTTTGACCATTTATTTATTTTTTGAGAGAGAATCTTTCTTATACTTGTACGTCGTAAATCTGTTCAAACTGGGAATTCTGATATTAATGATCAGGAAATAACAAACATGGCGGCCTGACTTAAGTAAAATCTGGGTAATAAAAATGAGAAAGGTCAAGTGGTCTTTGATTGTGTGTCTCATTCCCATATCTCAAAACATCTCAGGCAGGGTTTAATGGATTGGAAAGAAGCCCATTGGAATCCAGGTGCATGACGAAAGAGTTTTAACATAGAAATAATGACCTGATGCATTTGAACAGAAAGTACAAATGGCTGCCCTTCAGTATCTGATGTTATATTTTGTACAGTCTTTCTAATACCTTCCATAACTTGTAATGAAATGCATCCACATGTCTTAAACGTAAGCGTATTGTAAAACGATTACTGGCATACTTTTCAATACCATACTTTTAAGTGAATGTCATTTCTAAAGGGGTTTAATGTGATGAACACAAATCAGAGTGCCTTTCATGTGTGCGCCGTGTAACAATTCTATATTTATATCTGATTACACATGTCTTTCTTACCGAGCCTGTATGTCTTCAATAAAATATTTTGGTATGTTTGCATTGATAAATCACAAGTGTAATGGCTGATATTATTAAGGAGAATATGAAATGTGATATGAAATATAACTGACTTTTGCATTATTTTATAGTATATATAAATAATGAGCTATCATCAATCTTAGTTGGTTTATGGTCTGTATGTAAGTGTTCACTTTTAGTATTATACACAGGTGTATCAATTTAGATTATTTGCATTTAACTTCAGATCTATAGCTGTTGCTAAGAAGATATGCTAATTATATACAGAGCCATATATAGATATGTATCAATAGCCAACAACTAACCTGCAGCATGAATAATAGATAGACCTGTAATGTGAATCCTGGCAACAAATGTAGGCTCAGAGCAGAATCTCTCCATCATTATTCTAATTAAAATGACTATGCATCTTTACATTTCTTAACACAAAGCCCTTCAGCTTTATACATCTTAAACATGAAGCTGTGATCCCTCCAGCTAGTGAAGCAGCCGTCATCCTGAGAACAGCACCAGGCCAGTTTGTGTCTCCATCGCCCTGCCTCAGCCTCTGCATCCACGATATGCCTTTATTTGGGCATTTCTTAATGGAAGCTTGCTCTGCAATTCATTCCTTTCTCGTTCCTAATAATGGGCTGCAGGCCAGCGGTCTGTCTCTCAGCTAGCTGCTCCCCTGACCAGCAGCACAATCTCACATGGAGGAAAGAGAGGGGAAGGAATGAAAATGTTGAGATGACTGGTTATTAAACTCCAACAAGTAAAACTGTAATGCCAGCCTCCCAAAAGTGCCAACAAGTTCAAATCAATGCACAGCTGGGAAGAGCAACCTAAAACTGCTTGTTTCCGCTGTCATTTATAATTAGCTGTTGTGTATTGTCTGAACTCTGTCTACTTTTTTTCCAAGTCTATATCATCCTCCCATACAACACCATTTAAATTCTGATTTGATCTTTATTATTACTTCTATAACTATATGGCTGCAAAACATGCCTCCTTGAAAACACTCACGGGCGTTTGGCTACTGGAACTGGAGCCCCAGGGCCTAATGTTGGTAGAGGTAGAGAGCATGGATGTATAATTAAGCAATAGCTCACGACAGGCCGTGGAATATGCTCATTACATCACAGCTAAGGGGCGTGGTTCGGCCCGACTCTTTGATTACAGATTTGAAAACATCGTTGCTTGCTTTAAAAGTACCACAATTCATTATGTCAAATCTTGGAAAGTATCTAGATATCCCTGCCCTAATGCCAAAGGAACTGCACACTGAATATGTTTTGCCGTTTGATGTCTATGTCTGGACCGCTGCGTAAAAGGGAGGGTTTCTGCCCCGTTACTTCTCCACTGCTTTCTTGTTCCAGTTTTTCAGCCCAACCGTATACTGTTTTTCTCAGACGCGGAGGGATACTGACTTGTTGTGAAAAGTAACTTACAATTCTACCCGTGGTATACGCTCAGTATATCACGACTAAGAACCAATCAGATTGCTTGATTGGACTTGTCCGTTTTATAATAAGAACGTGCCAAAAATGTTTTTTCTTCTTAACACTCAGAGGATAACCAAACAATAAGCTAAACGTGTATATTGTTCTTATCCCAACAGATAATAACCTGCTGTTCCCACAGAGTAACATTACTTTCTCATACTTACCTAAAACGTTGTCATGCTTACCCTGAACCGCAATTTAAACTAGCGGAAACGTTTTTTAATTTCAAAACCATGAATTGTCCCTTTAAGACCTCGCGTTACGTCAGATACTCGTTAAGCGTCACGTGGTCTACGTCAGAGGGAACAGCAAAAGAACAAGATGGAGGAATATGCTAGAGAACCATGGTGAGTCTTATAACCAGATATATATACTGATTTATCATTTGTTTTAATAATTCATCTATTTGAAGTCACTAACACTTAAAGTGTGTATAACTAGTCTTTGTTACAAAAGGTGGCATTACCCAAAACATCTCCAACACTGCTAGTTACCTAGCTTTAGCACTAATGCTAACTCTACATAGAAATGCATTGGCGGTGTGTGCTAGCATCAGTTGCTAAATCAGTTATTGACCTTGTTGGTTTACTCGCCCACATGTCATTACATTTACTTAACTGACTCTAGTCACTGATTGCATGAGTTGACATGTGATTGAGATTTGAGTGTCAAGCAATGTTTCGGCAATATCATATGTTAAATTGGAGTAAAGGATGTTGCTTTAGCATGTTAGTAAGCTATCTATGTTAGCCACCTGTGTGCTAATGTTATCTGCCTGGGGAATAAGGATTGTACAACAGCTGGAGAAGGTTACTTGAAGGTTTGTCCCATTTATCTAGCAACACTGAAATTGAAATCCGTGTCAATGCGGACATACGGTATTTTACTTTGCTATTGATCAGGATAAGGAACACCGATTATACCATGGTCCGGTTTCATGCAGTTAGACAGTCCTGGATCAGGTTTAGTTATCAACCAGAGCATTTGAAAAATAAGTTTGTAACATTTTACAGCATAACAAAAGCGCTTTTTGTAAATGGGTGTATGTACTGCTTAATGAATCGAACATTTTAATGAAACTTCTGAATTCCAGTAAAATAAAGCAACTAATCTAGCTTTTTAATTGTTAAAATAAGATAAAATGTTATCGTCCATTTTCACGAAAAATATTTCTTGCTTCACAATCACCAGATTTTCATTAAAACACCTTAAATTACATCTGCAAGGTAACCTTCCTGCATTCTTAAATAAACTGACAAAACAAGATAGATTTGAATAAACTACTGACCTTTCATGGATACTTATAGAAGAGATTCTGCTTTTAACAAGACTCAACAACACGCACATCAGAAACAGGTTTATTGCCAGGTAGGTTCGCACATACTAGGAATTTGACTTGATGTCATGGTGCATACATAAAATATAAAAAACAAGAAATATAATATAAAACACAACATATTTTACACCGTAATAAAATACAGTTAAATAGCAATAAAATAACAATTAAGTAAAGCAGTAATTTACATGGAAATAGAATGCATTTTTGCATACAAACTATGAAATGTGAAATCAGAAAGGAGTATGACATTGTGTGCATTAATGTAATGCATATAGTCTATGATGTGGCAGAGGTAAGGTGTCAGCGGGGGGCTGGGCCTTGTTTAAGAGGCTGGTAGCGGAGGGGAAGAAACTGTTCAGGTGGCGAGAGGTTCTGGTCCCGATGGAGCGCAGCCTCCTGCCAGAGGGGAGGGGGGCAAACAGTTTGTGTCCAGGTTGGGAGGGGTCGGCCACTATCTTCCCTGCCCGCCTCAGGGTCCTGGAGGCATGCAGGTCGTGGAGGGATGGCAGATTGCAGCCGATCACCTTCTCTGCAGAGCGGATGACACCACATATCTTACATCCAACAATGTGATATGATTTAATGCAGAAATGTTGAAAATGAGTGATTAAATGATAATTACATTTTCAAGTGTCTTTAGTCAGTATGCTCTGAGAGAGTAATTTAATATGGACATTGTATTTTAAAAATCACATTTTCTAAAATACACAAGTAAACTGTAAAGAAAAATTAAATGATGTTCCATAAATGATTATTATTATGCATATGCTTATTCCTTGAGACTCTCCTTTGGATTGAAATCCAATACTTGTAGAGCTTATCTAGGCTGAACCTGCCATCAATGATTATGACATTGGCTCCTGCCGCTTCACACTATGTACTGCACATGAAACAACGTTAGCTGATGGCGGTTTTATGCTTCCAGCCCCTGGAGGATCGTGGATGACTGTGGGGGAGCCTTCACCATGGGAGCTATTGGAGGAGGGATATTTCAGGCAGTCAAAGGCTTCAGAAACTCACCCTCAGTAAGTTCAGTCATGTAGATGGACTCTGTTCCTTGCTGTATTACCTGCCGCTTGGAAAATATTAAGAAAACATAAATATTACAATTCTTTGTCATTACAAGTTACAACTGAGTATGCTAAATACATTTCCATTCACCTGTTTTGTGTTGCTCTCCTGTAGGGAATGAACCACAGAATGAAAGGTAGCCTGACTGCAATCAAGACCAGAGCCCCACAGCTTGGAGGTAAGAATAACAGCTGAATGTATATATTATCTGCCTGTAGGTCAAATCAACAACCCGACAGGGTAAAAGCAATTTAATAATGTTCGTTGTTTTATGGATGTTTGGTCCATAGAATCTTACTAGGGACAGGAGAGACTAGTACTAGGTAGTTTTTAACTTGACCTCACATAACAAAGTGCAAAGCATGTCATAACTGTCTAGTTTAACTTGTTTTAAGAAACAATGTTGGGTTTCAGGAAGCTTTGCAGTATGGGGAGGCCTTTTCTCCATGATTGACTGTGGTTTAGTAAAAGTACGAGGGAAGGAGGATCCCTGGAACTCAATTACAAGTGGGGCCTTGACGGGAGCTATCCTTGCTGCAAGAAGTGAGTAAGCTGAGAAGAAGCTGGCAGTTTACAGTCAACAGACAGCATATACATGCAAGAGGCAAATGGTGGTGTTGCTGTTTTACACTGAACAAAGAGTTGAAAGTAAATCTACCAGCTTTGTGCAATGTGTACCCTTCTATGTTGTGTGTTAACCATCCTGTTCCTCTGTAGATGGTCCGGTTGCTATGATGGGCTCTGCAGCCATGGGAGGCATCCTGCTGGGTTTGATAGAGGGCGCAGGAATCTTGCTCACTAGGTTCGCCTCTTCACAGTTCCCAACTGGTGAGTACTTCTTATGATATTTGAAGTTTGTGTCATTTATATTTAGGGATGTTAAGCATTTGCCTAAATGAAAACGCAGCTTGGTCTGTTTATAAGTCTGCCTCCTTTACACCAGATATTAAAACCTGGAAGTGAGTGGGTCTCCACATATCATTTTTTTCCAGAGTGCCACCTTTTAAAAATAATAATGTTCCCATTGAGGAGCAAACAACTGCAGCTCCCAGCGTCTTTTTGCAGAGACTTCTGCATCTATGCAGCTGTGTGCTTTTAGTTGAAAATATCTCACCTGTTAACTTGACTATAGAAACATGGAGGAGCTTGCTTTGGCTGTGTCCGTCTATCCTGACCTTTATTTGTCAGACAGACGCTATGATAACAAAGACGAACTAACTCAGCCATGTATGTATGAGAGATGACCTCTGCTGTGGTAAATAAGTAGTAACCGTCTGTAACGGCTATTTCTGTGGTCGCCCTACACCTGACAAGTTTTTCTACATTTGGATTACTTGTGATACATTAGTCACATTCCCACCTGCTACCATGCTTTACACAAACAGCTTCCAATCCCCATTCATAGCCTACTAAAACATCAGGCTGGGAGATATGTGGAAAATCAAATACCTAAAACATCTATGAATTTAAATTCCCAAAAACTACTATATTTAGATTTTACTGTAGTTACCAGGTGTAATGTGATATGAAAGATATTTGTCCACAGACTGAGTAAAACATCTAGTGTAGCTTGATCACTTTATTTATTTTCAGTTTATGCAGTTGGGTTAAAAACTTGTAATCCTTGTGTAAAGTGTCCTAACCCAAAGACCATATTTTAAGGTAAAACACAAAATATGTTCACCTAATTATGTCAAAAACATGAATCTCAATAGATTATTTATTAATTAATACAATACATTATGACATTTCATAACAGGAAAAGCCCAGATATAATAAATAACATTTATTATGAGTGTTTTTATTTTTCAATGTTTTATATTAGCGGCAAATCATTCAAATAAATCTGCACAATAATATTAAGCATAATTATAAGCACCACTACACAACATACTTTAAACAATCTGCCTTGTATATATGGAATCTTGGCACAGCTCAGGAGTAAATGTATTTTTAATTAAGGTATCACCCCACCTAGTTAACAGCTGTTAGACCTCTGATTTAGGGTAAATCTGAATTGAACTTTTTTTTGTCTCCCCAGGACCCCAGTTTGCAGAGGAGCCCACCCCTCCTCCCACGCCGCCCTCTCCCTTCGGAGACTACAGACAATACCAGTGAGAGGACTGCCCCGCTTCTTTTCCACTAGGCCCTTTTCTAAACCCTTGCTGGATAATGTGTGATCTATCAAAAACATGCCACATACCGAACTTACTGAATTATAAATATGTGGTATACTTATGTATATATAAAGTAAAGGCTTTCTGCTTGTATTCACCCATGTCAGTCTTTATTTGCCTTTTTAAATATGTCACCTGCTTGGGCTAGCCGTTTAGATTTTAGATTTATGAAGGCAAATACAAATCAGATACAATGCTATTCCTAGTTTTTATAAAGAGTGATTTTATTTATTTTATTTTGTGAAGAGTAGTACCTGATTGTTCCCTTTTATGTGACCATGCTTTTACATTCACCACAAAGGTGTGCAAGAGGCTGCTGATGACAAAGGATGGCATAGGCAGTACAAATGAATGGAGAAACTCAAGCAAGGGATTGATGCATATTGTATGAAATCTGTATGATAGATTGACTATGGTACAATAAAGAAACAAGTTGTTAAAGTGACTGTTGTAGTCGTATGAATACATTTAAGCCATGGTCTTTGTCCTGGCTTATAGGAAAAGTGTACATTTAAGAATGAGTTTGTTAAACAGCTACACATGCCCGTAATTCATGCTGCCTTTGCAGGATTGCTCATTCTCCGCTAGAGGGCAGTCCTTGCTAAAAGTATGGCTCTTTCTTTACTTGGCCAACAATTGTGTTACTGACTCCAGGATGTGTGTATAAAAGCCACATAAGAGAGTACTTTCCTCTCACATTCCCTATGTTTGTGTCACACACACCTGTTATCTGTTTGAAGCCGGCTCTGTGCAGCTACAGGTGAAGGGCGCAGGGGGAAGGAACTGTTGATGCAACTTCAACGTCACCAGTTTGATATGTAGGGTCAGGGTTCATTTGTTTCTTTAGTCACAACAAAGATACTAGAAAACTTTGTGCATAATACTTGATGCAGTTTTAACAAGTACAAGGTTTAATATGGTGATTCCATTCTAATTAACACACCTTAGCTATTAGGGACTAACTATCTCGGACTAATATCTACTAAAGGATTTCAGGAATGTATCCACCTATTTGCTTGATCATGCAAGTCGTGTTATCAATAAAATGTCCAAGCATTTAGGGAAAACACAAGGGCTTGTTTTGACAAATCAAATCCCCAAAAAACTGCAAAGAAATTCAGTATGCTTTTATAAAAGATGTGGGTTAACCAGTCGTTTTATTGACCAGTATTCAGAGTCAGAGACCTTATGTGGAGACTTTTAAGTTTATTTGAAAGTTGGATTTTAAGACTTGACATTTTGGTTATACTTGATCAGAATTCAACTTATGTAAAACCGGCACTTCAAAACAGCAAATATTCACATTTGATAAAATGAAACGTTAGTTTTAGGGACATTCTTTGCTTCAACAGTTAGTTGAATAATGTATTACATTTTATATATCCTACTATTTTTGATGAAAATACACATGCTCTCCTCTCTAATAACTCAAAAAACAATGTTAACAAAGTAAAAGGAACATGTCCAATGGTGTATGTGAGTGAAACTTGAAATTGACAAAAAAGTTGTTAATGACTAAGAATGACACAAAACAAAACAGCTCAATAAAGGACATGTGTACATTATGTTTCTTTACCACATGAGACTTGACTTTAAACTGGACAAAAGACTTACAGTTATCAGTCATTGAGTAGAAAGTACATCTATTGGAATAGTATAATAAAGTAGCATAACATGTAAATACTTGAATAACCAACACGTTCCTCAAAGTTAAGTATGCTGCAGTACTTGAGTAACTGTTTGCTACTTCGGTACTTACCAACACAACAAAGTGGCATATTTCAATATATCTTTGTTTTACATTTTGAAAGTAATAAAGTAGTAACTCATCCTCAAGAATGTGTAATGTCTTCACCAGGAAGAAATGTTTTTCGCAATAAATATGTAATAATGGATAAAATGATGTGTGTGTGTTCTGACACTCATCTTTACTGTGCTGCCCCGTTATCATGCAAATGATGCGGGACGAGAGGCCGATGTGTCATGCCCTTTTAAGAAAAATGAGAAATAGTGGGGAGTGACGTCTGCTGCGCACACAGGCCGGAGGCAAACTGACACTTGCGGAGCGGCGAGAGACAGCGAGAGAAAACGGTGAGTGCAAACCACAAACTTTACTGCATGCTAAACGCGGACAAATAACCCATTTGCTTGGGAGCACGTCTTGTCGACACATGCGGGATTAGTATCGAATACGGCAGGGTACATGGCGTGTGTAGTGTGTGTCGTTTAAATGAAAAGAAATGGTCCGCAAGTACAAAACGGAGTGTGCACTCCCATTTTAGTCAAGGCCAGGCGGAAGGGCAGGTAACGTTAGCAGCAATCGCTCTTTCTTGAGAAAATACACCGTGATAGGGGTTGACTTAAGACCTGCCAGGCCCGGTTGACGTGTGAGCTGTAAAATGCGCTTGATTGCAGCGTGTTTCTGACAGCCTAGCTGTGTTTTGATTGTACACGGAGGACAGGAATGTGTCGGCTAGCTAGCTTGATGCTAACGGAGCTGTAGCTAGCGGTTGTTAAGTGTCGGCGGCCCGTCGCAGGCAGTTAAAGCTAGCTAGTTAGCGGCATTGTGCTAACGAGCTTTGAAAACGGGATTTAGCGTAGTCGCCGGTGTGAACCTAGATTGTTTATGGACAGATGCTGTCTGGATTAAAGATTGTTATTTTATGTATCTGTAAGCGGGTTTGTGATTTGATTTGATTGGTGTTATGAAGCTGAAGGGTGTAATAATCATGCATCGACGGAGTGTGAGTTGCTGCTCTGTGGTTATAGAGCCAGCCACAGATTGTAGGGATTTAGCATGACCTGGAGTGATAAGCATATGCTACTGCCGCAAGCAAATTAGGTAGATTCACAGGGTTATAACCCTAGAGCTCATTTGACTTTCTCCTGTCTGGGGCCAAGCTCTTATTTTATAGGTTGCCTGTTGCAGGCTTTTTACTGCTGCAGGGAGAGTGATGTGAAACAGGAAAGGTGTACTACATCCTCAAACTATAAACACACAGTCGGGATGCTTTATTAAAAATAGAGTATCAAGAGGTGTAGGCATCCCTGCAGAGGTGGATTATCGTCTCCTTTTCAACATGTGTTAACTGAAATGGTGCACCCGCCTCATCCTGTGCCCTGAATCTCCCCATAGCTCATAATCAGGTATAGGCTATAAAACCCACTTCCTCCCTAAGCAAGCCTAGTTGTCTGGAGCTTTGAACAGGAACCGAGACTGGAAGAAGCTATTTTAGAAGATAGCTACTCCTTTTCCATCCTATCAGCATGAATCCTTCTTGCTCTCTGGAAAGAGGATGTGGTTACAGGTCAAAGCCTCAGCCAAACACATGCATTCTGTGGGTGTTTGTCAGTTACAGATCTTTGTCATAACTTGGTCACACGAAGTTTCGTTTGCCGGGCTGCAGTTTGGTTTTGACTCACGGTGCGACATTCAGGGACCTGAAGAGAGATGTCACAACTATCTAACTAGATAACTTCAAAGCTTTTGGTTCCTTATTCAGTCTTGAGGTATAATTTCGAAAGAGAAGATGCGTAGGAAGTTTGATACCATCTTAAGGAGAGATAACATTTCAATTGGCCTTTACATCAGTTTAAACGTTCATGAGTAATGTAAATGCAGTGTTATCTATTACATGTGAATGTCAGCTTTCATGAGTACCGGTAGTTGCTGTTGTAATAAACTAGCTTTTATTTTTTAAGTTCTGGTGGTAGCAATTTATTTTATAGGCTTGTAAATGTTTTTATTTACTAGGATGTTTCCTAGAAAGAACTTTGTAAATTTGGCACTCATTATAGGTCAAATTAGTGTTGGTGTCGTTCCAATTAATTAATTCCAATTAACTGCTAAGCTTGCTAGTCTTTCAGTTGGGGAAAGCAGGTCATCAAAAACATCCCAAAAGTGCAATTTGAGTATAGGCATCATCCAGTTTAACATATGAAGGTTAACATGTTTAATAGCAAATTAATCAAGTAATTTGATGAAAATAAAATACATTTCAACCCGATTTTAAATTGAACAGTACTTGTAGGGAAACTCCTCTGAATATTCAACAGCTGATTTTGAACTCAACCCAAGCCTATAAAAGGTGTCTTCTACTCTATAAATGGCACCAAAAGACATCATAAAAAAAGAGGATAATAAATGATATGTAAAATAAAGCGTTATGTCTTCTTTACTCAAGACCTTTGCTTGACAGGTTTTCTGCTGTCAGTAGTTCCTGGGTGATTTCCCTGTTAGTGTGTGGGTTTCTTATGCTGTGTGAAGTGTGAACAAGTGAAGTGTGAACAAGTGCTGTGTGAACTAGTGCTGTGTGAACAAGTGCTGTGTGAACTAGTGCTGTGTGAACAAGTGATGTGAACTGTGGTTGTGGTTGAGGTAATGAGTAACTATGAGCTTATCAACATTACAACGCGCTCCACCAGAACCACTATTATGTCACCCTGTGGGGACATCATTTTCATCAGCGTCGCTCCTGTAATTGTCATGTAGGTCAGCAAGCAAGCAAATCGGAAGATGACACAAGTCGGTATCATGCTGCCAGCTTAACCAACGGATGTGTGCCTTTTCACCATCTACATTGGGAGGAGGATACAGAGGGCAGCTGTCAATCAAACCGCCCTGCTGAGTCAGGCGCTGTGACAGCTTCACATCTGTTGGATTAGCCTCGCTACAGCAGGAAACGGTGCATCCTGAATGTTGTAGCATAGCTGTGAAGCCTCCTGCTCTCTTATTTCAGCTTCCTCTCGACTGAGGCGTAGTTTATACAGACACATTTGCTGCATATTCTTGCTTAGCAGCACCACCTCGTCCAGTTTTCCAGCCTTAGATGGATACATACCTTTGGCTGTAGAGGGTGAGTGATGCGGTGATGTCATGGTAGAGCATGTTTTCTGTGGCATGTGGCTTTCCCTCGCTCCTTATTTGCTGGGGTTACTACGAGAGCAGAGGAACGGCAGCGATGTGTTTGTTTTGTTGGGAATGACAGTGTGTAGTTCAGGGCGATGGAAAGAAGGAGAGGTTTGGTTTTTAAAGGGAGATGTCCTTAAATGGCCATGCGTGTGTGTGTGTGTGTCTGTTTGTGTGTGTCATGAGTGTGTAGGCAGGCAGTTGAGGGAGTACAGTGCAGCGTGTAGTGAGTGTCTGTGAAAGTTTGTAGAAAAGGTGTCAAAGCAAGAGCATCCTTTGCAGAAGATGCTACAGTTATGAGTAGGAAGCTCAATAAGACCAGAGTTCAAAGGAGAAAGTTGTTCACTCCTTGAATATAAAGCAGCATTTTTGGGGGCTTGATTGGGAATGTCATTTGAGTTGGGGGAGAGTGGTATTTTGTCTTGGCAGGCATCAAGCACAGCCACTTTGCTATTCTCGAGAACATCATTTAACACACTCGAGCTGCAAAACGTTGTCCTTCACTGCTACTCGAGCTTAGAGAGAAGTACACTGTCTTGCCTTTTGACGCTCGGCTCAACAATGCATTTTAACTTCAAAATGTATTTGTAAGCAAAAGTTAAGCGTAGCTCAACAGCATTACAAATATTAAGATATAGATTTTCTCACCACGCCTACATACACCAATATTTTAATTTATGAAGATGATTTACTGAGTTTTGAGCTCTTAAACTGCCCTTCTGGTTGTGTGCAATAAGTTAATGGCAAAATAACTAATTATGACGTTTATTTCCCAAATGACTCTTGCCCCAATGCTCTATTTATGTATTGAAAATAGCATGTATTCAGTAGCATCAGTTTTTGTTATACATATTTGAAAATGTAACGATACAAATGTAGATATGAAACATGTTTATGCTGCAAATGGCATCTCCTTTAATATTTTGCACCTCCAATATCTCTTTTCTTTTTACCATACTTTTATGAGCTGGTAACATCATCTATTTTAAACTTAGTTGAACATCGTTCCCTTTTGTTGACACAGGACACAAAAGTACATTTGTTGTCCCTTAGAATGTCGATATATGTAGGCACCTCACCTTTCCTGGAAAACAAGTAAATCACTTCCTCCAACATCAGAAGAAAACAAACAATAGTTTTATGAAAAATGCAAGGGATTAAGTTTAAACACAACCAGTCCTTTTTAAAAAGTGTTTTTGTTGTAAAATGAAACCAATAAGCCTTATGATGAATACCTCAGCTTTGGGTCCTAACACAGATCTGCAGCATCTCAGCGTTGCCTTTCCTCTGAGGATATTTGAGCACAGGTACAATTGAGCAATACACATCCATACTGTCCTCTGAAGCAGTCGCATATTAATCTAACAGTCACTATCGCAGAGTGGGTTCCTGATGTCACCGCTCTTATCTTGTGAACCCTCAGTGTTCATACAACAACCATGACATGTGGATAGCTGACAGTAAGGCCTAGCCTAAATGTAAGTGAGACATTGTCTTTATGACATTGTATATGTTACACTGTGCATGCACTTGACTCTGGTCTTGAATGTTGACATGAGTGCAGCAGGGACTATTTGCATAGCACTCGTGCGCCCTGGTTTCTTTTTTTTGTCTTTCTTCCCATGGCTCCTCCCTAATGCAAGGAGAACTTCTCTTTGTTGTGTAGAGGATTAGTGAATATGAATTATTCACAGTCCGGGCTTCATATCCCACATGGTCACTGCTTGCAATTGAAGTTGGAGGTCCTTGGTTCCTTCATCCACCCCCCCTGAGTATTTTTGATGGAGTGTGCTGCAAAAAGAACAGTGCAGGAGGGGATCATCTGCTTCCCAGAGTGCTTTCCGATGAGCTTTTTATTTGGGCAAAAGAGTTGACTATTAACGTGTGGCTATACTTTGTCCCTTTAGACCTGATTTGAACTTGAAGCCACTTTCTGATTTTCAACACAGTTTTGATGCCAGCATGCTGCACGTTTCAACTCATGCTGGAGATGCTGTACTCTCAGGGCTAGTCCTTTGATGTGAGGCCTAAGCAATCTGGTGTCTGTTTTCCCCTCACTACAAACCTAGTCACATTTAAGGGAACACTGAAACTCTGGCTTTTAAATAACGTACCTCTAATACAGACGTGTCGGCAGGGTTGAATTTAATAGCGCGTGTGTGTATATAAGCCTATTGTCAGGCTGTGTAGCTCAGCCTGTGTTCTCTCAGAGTAGGGCTTTTTTCTATATGTTTTGTACTTCAAATAAATAATTACTTGGCTGTTGAACAATAGCTTTTCATATAAATCTAATTTGTTATGATCCAGAAATCCCCCTCTTCTTTCACCACCACCCCTCAGTGTAGCGGGCTCTCTCTCTGCAGTGACACAGTTGGCCAACTCCACTGACTTTATGCCACAATGTGTGCCAGTAATTAGGAGCCTCTGCATCCCTTTAAACCGGGGTATTCCAGTTATTTCCCAATGTCCTCCCCACTGCAGGTTTCACTTTCAGCTGTTTGCTGTCATTAGTCAAAAACACTGACACTATACTGCTGTTTTACAAAAACAAACTGGAGTGACTTCAACATCTGACAGCAGGGTGTGTTTTGGGTTGTGAACGCCAGACGATTGTGTCATTATGAGGGATATCTGCCAGATCCATGTATCATCTCCCTTCAGTCCCCCACACACACACGCACACACACACCCCCACCCCACAGCTGGTTTGTGTTAGAGAGGGGTCACATACTATTCACCTCCTCCACCCTGAAACAGCTCCACTTATGGGTGTTCCCTCCATTGTGGTGCGGCTTCTTGTCCATAAGCTCCAGGAATGACTAGAATCCTTCCTCTTGAGGGGAAAAACTCTGAGAACAGAGACTGGGAAATTCCTTTTGTTTTGAAAAGTTAGATCTTGTTTTGTTTTCTCCTCTATCTTTACACCCTTTTCTCATCTTGTTTCTCCCATTTTGCTTTTCCTCATTTGTCCAGAGCAGACTGTTGGGCTGTCCGGTGAAGCAAACCCGCCATGCGTGAATACAAGCTCGTGGTGTTAGGCTCTGGAGGTGTGGGCAAGTCCGCTCTGGTGAGTATTCCCTCCTGAACCCCTTCCTGCCCCCCTCCCACTCGAACACCTCTGCAGTGTGTTTCCTTTGGACTTAGCTGGGACAACAAAAACCTAATATTGCTTTAAGTTGTTGGAGAAAACTTTTTAGTTCAATCATTTAGGGAATTTTTGACACAGGCTGCCACAACACCACATGTGAAACTGTCTGATCCTCTTTTTTAACCCTAAACGTTTTGCTTTCTTTTGTGGGTGGTAACATGCTTGTGTTTCCTAACAAATGTCTGCATTCCCGGAAAATGCTCGGTACAAAAAAAACGTAAAAATATCAGAATACCTTTTTTATATAGAGTAATAACTATAACTTGTTGAGTAATACTAACAATACAAGTAATATAAATGAACTATTATAAGTAAAATAGTACAGATAAACAATATTTCTCAGGGTATACAGTTATGCTTATTCTAGCCCTGCCAACATTATCATTAAGAACAATCTTAATTTAACTTTTAAATATCCTGTTGCCACAATTATTTTGTATATTTTCAGAAGGCCATAATTGTCTGAAATATTACATGTTCTTTTGAGCTAACTTAGTCCATGTGTCGCAGTCGCGCTAATCTCTCTGAAACTGGCAGGCGGACATGTTTACACCTTCAGACATTATCAGGTGAACTCGGTCCGCCCTTAATGTAAACTCACGGTCAGGCGCAGTGCCTGATGTCATGTGTGTCTCTATAAGATGAATCGGAGATGTGCTGGGCATCAGTTGAACTTTGTCTTCCGACTGGCAACATCACAAACATCCTCTTCCTCAGTGCCTGGCCGTGTTGTTGTGACAGCCCAGCAGCGGGGACACATTTGCCACTCTGGATATATTGCTGCTGTGGCCCGGGAGGTCACATTGATCTGACGTTGTCTTCCTCTGTGTCTTCTCTTACAGACAGTTCAGTTTGTACAGGGAATCTTTGTGGAAAAGTATGACCCTACAATAGAAGACTCGTACAGAAAGGTGAGTGTCCCTTGAGGAGGGGGGGGGAGGGGGAGGGGTGCTGGAATGAGCTGATTGTTAGCAGCTGCTCTTCAGGTTCACTTCATGATATTATTCTCTCTCATCTAACTCCCTTCATCCTTCTCTTTTTCTCTCTCCTTTTAGTAAATTCCTGTGCTTTTACATGTACTATCTCCTAGGGCTGCTCGATTATGGCAAAAATCGTAATCTCGATTATTTGGGTTAATAATTGTAATCGTGATTATTAAATGCGATTATTCATTGACTTTGAAAACATCCATTTATTGGAGAACAGTATGTTTTTAACAGTTTATTACCCTGAACTTTAAGTATAATTCAACTGAAAAAAAAAAAAAAAAAAAAAAAAAAATTGTTTTATTTAGATTACGTTGTTTTCGTAATCGTTGCAAGCCATAATTGTAATCGCGATTTAAAATACGATTAATTGAGCAGCCCTACTATCTCCTCCTTCATTATCTCCTCCACTGTTGTATCTGCCTCTTAGCATGTATTCATTCCAGTATTTTAATGATAGAGTATGATGTGCCCATTGACCTGAAATACAGCTTGACATGATCTGTTTCCTTTTTTCTCCCAGCAAGTGGAGGTAGATGGGCAGCAATGTATGCTTGAAATTCTCGACACAGCAGGCACAGTAAGTGAACCCTGTACCACTGAAGTCTCTATCCACTCCATGCACCACTGTATTGACCACATTATAGGTCATGGGAAACTCCTTTCTTCTAGGATAGTGATTTATTTTGGGGTAAATCAGAAATCACAGGCTTGAGGTGGGTTTTGTAAGAAACATTGAGAAGTACTATGCTGTCAAAGACTTAACCAGCTGAGATGCCATGTAGTTATGACCTGAGACACTGTTGTGACATTCATCCTACTGACTTGATCCCCTGACACGTTTCCCTAGCGCTACCTTGAGGTGAACATTTGTAGATTTGAGTGAAATGACTATTTGTTGGATTACCATGATATGTGGTGCAGATGTTCACCTCTCTGTTAGCGATCAACTTACGATTTAACTGGTCACTTCAAATCTCATCTAGCATCATTGTATGTTTCAAATGTATGTTACATATGCACAAGATTTACAGTGAAACCAAATCCTTGACGTAAGCATGCTAACATACTGAACTAAGATGCTGAATATGGTGAATATACTATAGCTTGTAAGCTGATGTTGTTAGAATTGAGCTTAAAGTCTTACAGCATGTCTTTAGACTCAAAGTCTTGTTGTCAGGAATATCTCCATCTTTAATCCAGTAGAAGAGTGTACGTGTCAAAGGTTATTGTATGTATGTTGATTGTGCATAAGCAACATGCATGTTCATGCCCGTTTCTAGTGGACAATCGTGGGGTGCTGGTATTTCACACACACTGCACAATGGTGTGAGTGTGCTGTGGAGAGACTTGACGGAGATCCAGCAACACCACCACCACACATAATCTGTCACTATATGTGCTGAATCTCAGAGCCGGTCACAATATTGTGATTATGAGTTATACTGTATGTAATGGACATTAACAATAGATGCTAAGAGGAAATGTGACAGAGCTCATGCCTTTCCCCTTTATCTTGCTGTGCAGGAGCAGTTCACGGCGATGAGGGACCTGTACATGAAGAACGGCCAAGGCTTCGCCCTGGTATACTCCATCACAGCACAGTCCACCTTCAACGACCTGCAGGACCTGAGAGAACAGATTCTACGAGTAAAGGACACAGAGGATGTAAGTCTGCACTTAGCATATTAACATCAGCTCCTCGCATTTTCACAGACGTTTTTCTCATGTTCTATCATGGTTACATGGGTTGTAGAGCCACAGGGAATGAACAGCACAGAAACAAGCTCTGCACTTCTCTGTTCTCAGCCGCCTACATTGATCAGGACCTGATTGTACTGTTGCTATGGATACTATTCAACACTGTAATCACTGCATCTTATGCCAGTAATTACACATTTGTATTACCTAAACATAATGCACTCGGTGTCACGTCTGTTGGCTATATAGTGAGAACAATAAGGAAACTCTCACTGAAACTTGTGTATTGTACTCGGCCTAGCATTAGCTAATGTTAGCGTCACGCAGGTCTCTGTGGTTTTACTTCATCTGTTTAAATGGACGGAGCCAGAGTCCCCGCTAAGCTAAGAGGCCAGTACAAAGGAGGGGAATGTCTTTTTCTCTTTAGTCTTGCTTTTAACAGACATGCACTGTGGTTTCCCCTCCAAGTCTGCCCCTCAGCTTGGATCTGTAACGGAGCAAATCAAAAGAGAACGTGTCACGTCATTATTTTCCCGGTTTGCTTTTTCTTCAAGGCATATTTCCATTTGTTGTATATCTGGTGAATTGTGAGGCAGTAGAGTGAGTACGCTCTTCATGCACTCTCTACTGGCCTAGATAGTGCGTCAGCAGGATTTCAGATGCCCTTTTTTGGTGATCTCAAGAGAGTGAATGTTACCATAACCCTCTCTCTCCTTACTTCTTCCTTTCCTCGCTTTCTCCCTGTTCCCTATCAACCGTCTAAAAAGCAGCTCTGCAGCTGGTAGCAGAAGTTTTAAAATCTTCTGTGTCCATCTTTTGGTTTGTCCTTCTCTTGCTCCCGTTCTCTGTGTCTGTGCCAGTTAACTCCTGTTACTCTATGCCCCCCCTCTTCTCTATGGCCTTCCTTGTGGTCTTACTGTGGTCTGGCACTCTGTGCGGGTGATTGGACTGTCAGGGATGATGTGCAAAGAAAGCTTCAGCTCATCAGAAACACACTGGATCGTGAGGCTGTGGTGCTTCATTACGTTTCATTTCAGTACGTGGTTAGAGAGCTGAGGTTAGCCTCAGGCTAACAGATGGATTGCAGGATCAGTGGCTGCAAGAAAACAGTCGAGGTCCCTCAAACTGGTTCCATTTCTTAGGTTTGTTCTTATATGGGTACTATGGCCACCCGTTAGCTATCAGTCCGCTGGTGATTCAAGCTTTTACCTTCAATGACCAGCACATCTGTTTATCTCTCTTTGCCCTTTGCAGGAATGCACCACCTAAGGAAATGCTTAAAAAGGTCTCTTTTATTTGGCGAAAGCTTTAAAACTATTTCTAAAGCAGACATTCTGGTTGCTGCTGCAGCTGTTCTCATTCTCGGCTTTTCCACGCACAATTGACTGCAAAGCTTGCAAAACGTACAGACTCACTTGAAATGTCCAAGCTCAATTAACAAGCCTTTAATGACTGCACATTTCAACACAGTAGGGTGAAATTCCATCTCCTTAAAAAAGTCGTTAGAAGAGGAGAATGAAGTGGGTGAGCACTCACCAGTGTATTAAGAGTTTACTTCCTTCTACAATTGTTATGTAAGAGAGGTCTTGTGATTTTTCTGGGGCCATCTCCGTCTCTACTTGTGTGACTCGGATGGTACTAATGCCTGACTCCATGCTTGTGACTCACAGATCCATTCATTTGGGGTACTTTGTACTCCCCTTTTCTGCGTTCCCCACAGTCAGATCTTTAGGAGGCCATTGTGGGGCGTGCCCTGTCTGTAGCATGTTAACAGCGTCTGAAGGGTTTCTCTGTGGCCTGCACGGATTCCTCCAGTCTGCTAATGCTGCTGACTCTGAACATTTTTTCTTCCCTGCATACCTCTATCCTACCATCCCCTCTCTCCATCCTTTTTATTCCAGCTTGGCTCACAGTTTGTGTTAGGAGGGCATACCACTGGTTCTCCCAGGACCCCTGGGAGAAATGTCATTCAGCAGTGCAGTGGGCTTGTTTGGATATCAAACATCAAGCAGCAACCTCCACGGGGTTAATCTAAACATCGCAGCTTCCTGTCGTCTGCCCCACAGCCCGGAGAGAGCGAGGCAGAAAAGGAAAAAAGGATCCTGGAATATTCATCCAGTGCTTTGAAAAGTGTTACATCTTCTGAAGGAGCGTGGCCACACTGCTGTCAAAAACGACCCCTGAACAGTAGCCTTGTGGGTGGAAGAATGTCTCAAGTTTAAACAAGTTAGCGCATGTCAGGGTGCTAGCATGTTGCTTACAGACATTCAGTTTTTCCACCAGACATGTCTAAATGTCATTTCTGGACCATGAGAAGGGAGTGAAGGCAGGATTTCCCATTCATGGATTTATTTGTTGCAGTCTCACCACCACAAATAGATTTCCCCAGCTGATATATGATTGGCGCCTGTTGTGCTGCCTGCTACATTTTCCACCAGCTGATTACGTCTCTTGCCTGTTACGCTTCACCACACACACACACACACACACACACACACACACACACACACACACACACACACACACACACACACACACACACACATCCTGTGAACCCCTGGAAAACTGAGGCAAACGTTGAACTCTTTCTCAGACTTGAGCCTTTTTCTGTTGCCATACAATTTGACAGTGGCTGGTATAGTAAAGCCAAGTTTAAATGCAGACTGATCGCACACTGTCTATCACACACACTATCATGTAATTCCAGAGAGCAGCCAGAGCGTGGAATCCAGCTGAAATGTTCAAATTCAGGAAGGAAAGCGATGTTATCCTGGCCGGGCGGGGCTGCCATGACTTCCTCTCAGGCCAGCATGCTCCCTAGATAGATGGTCAGGAAACAGCAGGCAGGATGAGACGCATCCCGACACCCTGGCTGCCCCGACTCGGCTCACTGTGACAGTTAGGGTCTGATGTTATGCCCGGAATATTCTCTCTTCCTCAGAGAGTTTTTGTTTTTTTGACCTTGGCTGGTAAAACCTCTGACTTGTTCCACAAAAGAAGAAGTGTCGGGTTTTTGGGAGACTCCAAAACCAACTGCACATGTCAGTGGTTGTGTTCCCAGCTTAGGATTTCCTTCTCTAAAGAAGCAAAATAAACTGCAATCATTGCAAATTCACATTGATTTCTTAATCTCTTGTGTCCCTGTTGTGTAACCTAAACGATTAGTTTGCCTGACCACAGGGATGGATTGATTTTCTTTGTGACCCTGTAATTCCACTTCAAATGGAAATGAATAAGCTCTTAATAATAATGTCTCCACTGTGTACTTTAAGGATGCGTGTGAGTGCATATTGTCCTGCTTACTCTCACTTCCTCCTTCCCTATGTCAATACTTTGCACTGGACAGTTATAGACTTTTATGTCCGCAGTGTGCTCGGCAGTCATGTTTAAGGAGAGCTTTCTTTCAAGGGGCAGGCAGCAGCTTTTAAAGGAGTTTCTTTATCGAACACACTGATGTTCGTATGTACAGCACTTTTGCAATATCCAAGCTTTACGTAGAATTCCTGGCATTTTCACAAATACTCCTCTCTACTTGTCCCCCTTTTCCATTTGTTTTCTCCGTTTATTTTGATGGGCTTACTTATGAACCTATGGGCTTACCACTAAAAATAATTGCAGGACACATCTGTGTTCAATTAGCATCTTTCAGGGCTTCAGATCTGTTGTTTTTCCACTTATCGGTGCTGACAATTGTGTATGTATTGAGATAATCACTATGCCGTTATGTTATATGAATTACATATTTTAAAAGAGAGAATGCTATTTATATTGCATGTATGAAGTTAAGTCTATTTTTATGACACACAGTCACACACACGGCTCACACTCTTTCCTCTGCTTGTCCTCAGGTGCCGATGATCTTGGTGGGGAACAAGTGCGACTTGGAGGATGAGCGTGTGGTGGGGAAGGAGCAGGGCCAGAACCTGGCCAGACAGTGGAACCACTGTGCCTTTTTAGAGTCCTCTGCTAAGTCAAAGATCAACGTGCTCGATGTGAGTACACCCAGAAACTAACCACTGGTTAACCTGCCCACACATCTTCAAAGAGCAGCCACCATATTACTTTTATCGCTCAGGGATTTATTGAAACGCTGACCTAATTGTAAGAATAACCTCATCTGAGTTTTCTGTAAACAAAGACTGGTATGGTTCATCCAAGATGCAAGTGCTAATGAGCTCAGTCGGATTATACCTAATACACCCTTGTTAAACCGAATGTGTGTAAACGGCAGCATCAATCCATTTAGTAATGAGGCCTCAAGTGATTTCTTAAAGGCGCCACAGTGTGTTTGGAACTGCCTTGTTTGAAAGAGGAGATATGATTTGACTGATGTTCAATAATTGAAATATTTGTTTGTCGCCTCTTTTCTCAGATCTTCTATGACCTGGTCAGACAGATAAATAGGAAAACGCCAGTGGAAAAGAAGAAGGCGAAAAAGAAATCCAACTGTGTCCTGCTTTAAAAGACCCCCTCCAGCCCCTGCAGCAGCTCTGAGCCAGGTGTGTGTGTGTGTGTGTGTGTGTGGGTGTAACATTTCCAATAGTCTAGTCACAAAGGCCCAGGAGCTCACCTTTCTGTGAGGTCATGATGCCCAGGCTGGCTGTCAGGTTAATTAGTGTTGCATAAGAGCTTTGATCTTTCTATGTCATCCTACATGATGCTACTCACTTTTAGTTCATCACAGTCTATTATGGGTCTCTTTGCCTGCAGTGAAGTACAGTCAAATGAATCTGATTTAACATCACGTCAGCAGTGGGCCTTGTTGAGCTCGTTAAGGAGGACTTGAGAAGCTAGGAGGGAGTGGAGAAACTCGGGAGGAGCGATTCAGAGAGAGAGCCCCCCCTTATGGAGAGTAGATGTGCAACAGATATTATAACTGGGAAATGGTACAAAAAATAAAGTTGCTATCGGTTCCATTTATTCTAAATGAACTCATTTCACATAAACACCTGAACTGGACAGAGTAAAGGTTTTGTGGATCAAAAAGTCTATACAAATGCTTTGGAAATAGTCCTATATTATCAATTTCATACAAAACATGTAAAAAACGAATAAGGAAAATGTAAGTAATTTTTAGAATTATATTAGACTTTATTTACTCCCTTAATGCTCTGCCCCGCTGTAACCATTTGCCTCTCGGCTACCTGAGGCTTGTGCTTCGTGCGCATAGAAATCCTGACCGGAAAGATAAAGTAATCTTCTCCCAATAAAAACCCATAGCGGCCTCAGGAGCCAAACATTTGGTGTTCCTCAACCTACCTTGTGCAGCCTACAGAAAACAAGTGTGCACAAGGAAAGTACCTGTGGCTGATGCCGCCCTCGTCAAGTGGATTGATAATGCCTGAACAAAGGCAGAATACTTGGAAGTGAGCCAGTAAATACAAGCGCTGTCAAATGAATTACTCTATATTCATGAAATAAATATACAAACATAAAATAAATGGCAATCTGCATTAGAAATAAACATGCCATCAATTTTACCCATTCAATTCAAATGATCCCAATAAGTGTTTTCCACTGTTTATATATCAAGGGTTTTTATTTGTTGTCATTCTAGTGCAATTTATCGGAGTTGCAGGGTACTTCTTCTGTGTACTGGGTTATAAATGTAGTCCTTATCTGAAGAGGAACTATTCCACGTGACAACAGATCAGACATCTATTATAAGGCGTATGTGTGGGACAAGTCGTGTCACTTTCCAAGATGACAGCAGTTGTCATCTCGTGACAGAAAAGCATTGCTTCGATGCTGATTAGCTACAGATGCAGTAAATGTTTCAGGACACGCTAACATCCCCCGAGTCGGCCTTCAAACGTGTGAAGTGCTGCCATTAGCAATTCCTCTGCATCCTTGTTGCTGTTGAATGAATGAGTCACTGTATGATGGCTGGCTTTAAATGTGGACCTCAGCAGACTGCAGCTGCTGGTTGAGTGAGGAAATCCAAATCTGTCATTAGTTTACCAGAGAAATGAGTATCGCTTCTTCATTTTGTAATCGTTTTACAGCATTTTTTATTATTAGGCCGGACACTTAATGGGGGAGGCTGAAACCAGCCCAAATCAGGCTGCGTATTCCCATCAATCTTTCTTAAATAGAAAAGAGTCTATTTATTTGAAGCTGTCCTGTTAATGATCTGCATTGTATGTGATGCAATAATGATAATAGGCGCTGGATAGCTGCTTGACAGACAGACAGTACATGTCATCTACATCTAAGCTCTTTTTGTAAATATTGGCTTCATTGTTTCCATCCTACTGTAAGGACGTATTTCTACATTCAGTTGCTTTTAAGATTATACATGCTATTTTTTTAGCTGGAGCTTGGCAACTTCTGTCACTATATACATATGGTAATCCCATTATGTATATCAGTTAGCAGCCAGAAATGGTTAAGGAAAAGCTTATTTAGTATAAGTTGTGTGGCTAAATATTTGGTATCTTCCCACAGTATATCTTTTTTATACTTCCCAATTCTTATTTTAGCTGCTGGCCACATTAGCAGAAGGTCAGGGGTTATTATGCGCTCCTGATAACATTTCACCCTAGTTAACCCTCCGCTCAGTCTCAGTCAGAATGTTTCCACCCTGAAGTGGAAAGTTTCCTTTAAAAGATGACTTTAGGTTCACTAGTTTGAGCATGTCTAGTGACAAATCATGACCTTTCCCCAGCCTCACATGGAGATTAATACACTGGGTGTCAGTATTTCCAAACATTGAAGGGAATAGCCTAATCTGTTCCCTATGGCTGGTTGGAAAAACCTGCGTCTCTTCAAAGGCAATCACGGTGTTCTACGTGTAGACACTAAGAATGTAGTGAAAAGAAGAGCTTGATAACAAATGGCTGACATCTTTCTGAAGTGTCATACATGCCGACTTGTAACCATGTGTGGCCTGCTGTCCTGTAGCTGAGCCCTTTTTTATTTAAGTTGACAAACCATTGAATTACAATGATCTCAGTATCACATTGTCATAATAACTATATGTTTGGAGAAATTGATAGCAAAATGAAAAACTCAAATCTGTTTAGGTATACCAGACCAGGAACAATAGTAATTGTAGCCCACTGCACAGGGGATTTGCTGTTCTACTGCTGCCTCGATTCATTTGTATGTTTGTGTTAATATACATTTATTTTATCCCCCCGAAGTTGGTATAAAAAGCCAAACATTTTGAAGTGGTTATTTGAATAAAAACACACTTCAAATACAAAACAACAAAAGATCTGATTACCATTTCAATATCTGGCTTGATTAAAAAAACATCTAGGCATTTGTTGTTTTAATGATGTATTATAAGCTTCTTAGACCTAGTATTAGGAAGTTAACCAGGTCATAAATCCCTCTCTAATATAACATATGTTTGCTGTTATTGGTATTAGTGTTGCACCCACTCTATTAAATGCTGCTTTGCTTCCATATCAAATCTCCTGTCTGTCCATCTACAGTAGGGGCGTGCTGACTGCCCTCTACTGTAGGTGATACCCTAACCATGGGGAAGTACCTCGGACAGCCCACCTTCAACACATCTGAACTGTTCCTAAAACACATTTTGGGCATTGTTGTCAGAACAAAACCCCATAGTGCCAAACAGCAGAGATGGTACACCCACCTCCACTTTTCACTCGCAGGTTGGGGGGGAAATCAAACATTTGATATGACAGATAACAGGAGATTAGTGAACAGACAGTGCTATTGTGCCCGGCCCAGACATCAGGGTCACTGAGCCACCCACTGCGTTCCCCCGTCTGAATCCATCTGTGTTGGTCAGTTAGTGGTCCGGTGAGAGAGAGGGGCCTCAGTCAGCAGGCCCCGGGGCGGTGTCTGCCCCCCCCCCCCCGCACCTTGCTCCGTTCACACACTGGCCAGCCCAATGAACCAACACTAATGGGATTACAGCCCCACTGTTCCACCGCTCACCACACACAATCTCATTCACTGTAGAGAGAGAGAGGGGTTACAGTGCCAGCCTCGGACAGCACAGACTGAGAGTTAATGGGACCCTTCACTTTGTACAACATGGGCATTTTCCAGTTTGCTGACCTCATGAGCTGCAGTCTTTGACTTTAGCTGCCGCTGTATTCACTCGGACAGAAATTGAAAGGAAGCTGATACTTGATATGATGGCATATTGATTCTAAAGATGCAGGCTCAGAGAGTATTTGCAGTTTTGTGCTGACGTTTTTAAACCTGACTTGCTGGAAACAAGATGTTAAAATAGTTACAGGCATCTTTTTTCATACTTTTTTTGCACATACAGTTTGTTTCTTCGCTGCACAGTGTTGAGTCAGATGTGCCCACATGTTGTTTTATCATTCCATTACAGTTTATAGACTCAGTAATTGAGCTTCGGGTTGTCTTTTAGAACTTTGAAGTCTAGGACTGTACTTACTAGATGTTACTCCAGCTGGAGGCCTTGAATGCAACTTTAACAGACTTCACAATAAGCTCTTTTCAAAGCAGACCGTCACAGCAACAAAAAAGCAGGTGTAACCAATGACATTGAACATGGCTGCTTTCCATGTTAGTGCCCTGGTTGGTCATGCCAGCGAGCTGCAGTCGATTGCATAAGAGCAAGGCCCTGGAACATTTATTTGGAGCATAGCCATCCGTAATCTTGATTATAACCTCTGTGCTTTGTAAATATCACAAGCCAACATGCCTGCTGTGAAAACACTCCACTGGTTTACCTCCACTCTTCACAGCCTGAGAGCAAACTGCAGCCCTCACTGCCCATGACAGCCATTTTGCTTTTAATAAAAAACATAAAACATGTCACCAACCAAAACATTAAACGGTTCCATAAAAGCTTACAAAGAAGTTACTGTATTAAGAATCACATTTTAAAAGTAGTCATTTTAATGTTTTGTCATTGTCTTTAAAGTTCTTGCGGTTACGTAACATCACATTTAGCTGATGCTGCTGTCCAAGAGGAAAATCCATGCTTTATTGCAATTAGTGCAATAAATCCTAAAGATACAACCACAGAAACACAAGGTACTAGGTGTGTCACCGCTCGGCTAATACATCATTATTGCACCTGTGCAATCTATTTATAATTGTGTCATATTGAGTGTCGTTTTTTTCATTTCAGTAAGCTACGTAAAAAAAACAGGAGGATACAAATGATCAAGAATATCTCAAGCACATTAACAACCACTTATATTTTAAACGTAGTTCTTCAATTGTACTATATTATTCTATTCAAATGGCATATATATTTCATGATGGTTTCATAGTAGATGTGTTGCTCCTCCTGAGGTTACTTCAATTTGTAACTCTTTAAAGGGGTTTCTTTTAGGATTCTATCCTTATCCAAATCGATTATCTAAGGATAGAGGGTCCTTTATGCTTTACATATTGTAAAGACCCTGAAGGCACATTTGTCATATTGAGCGATGTAAACAGAATTGACTTCATCTTAATTTTAAGAATATATATTGGGAATGCATTTCTCACCTTTTTAAGACCAAAATATTAGCTTTGTGTCGTGGCTTTTAATGTCCCTGAGTTAAATGTTTTCCTCCTACGTTTCCCTCCCACAGATGTAATGCCATCCACCGGCCACTAGAGGGCATTACATTTAATTTAAGTTATACAAAGGGGCTGCAATAAAACACAAAGATACATACTCAAAACAATAAGAACAATACAGATATATTTGCTATAAATAAGCAAAGCCATTGAAAGTGCTGGTGCATTAGTCTCAGGTGCACCTGGCTGCTAAATCCTAAGAACTGCTACAGGATTTGTATTTTAATAAGTATTTTTTTTACATTTATTTTTTTTATTATATAATAACTTAGTACTTTTTTTTAACACATGTAACATTAAGCTGTCTGTGGCTCTTTCCTGCTGTAACGACGCGAATGTCCCCTCTGTGGGACTAATAAAGGTATTCTGATTCTGAAATAGGTGAAACCCTTTAAGTGCTACATCCTTTTTGTCTTTGTTTGTTTAATGGCCACATCAAGGGCTAAGAGCGCTTGTAAGTCTCTGTCAGGCTGAATGTGTACTAAACCACTTTGTTGTGTTGCAGAAATGCTGTAATGAAGAACTGTTGCTCTGATTGGAACGTGCCAGCATTCCAACAGCCCACCCCCCCCTCCATCCCACTCCACCCCCCCCACCCCCCCCCCCCCCCCCCCCCCCTCCCCCTCCATCAGCCATACACGGTGAATCAGCTGAACTGCTCCTATCAAAGACGAGGATGACCTGCACCAGCGAGAGAAAGAGAGAGATGGAAAAGACAGTAAGAGAGAGAAGACCGTTCTCTCTCCTCCGAGGACCTTCCTCTGTGTCTCAGTGTCAGTGTGAACCCAGAACGGACAGTCTCCATTTTCTGCACCAACAAACGCCACAAACTTATGATGATAAAAGCCTCTGAAAGTTTAAAAAAAAAGTGTCCATGAGCCGCCTACATGGCCAAAGAGCAGCCCCCCCCCTCCCCCCTCGTTTTCATTTTGGGACGGTTAAACAAAAAGATAATAACAGCGATGAAAAGAAGGAAAACAAAGTTAGAACTTCAGTATTTTTTTCATCTTTTTCAATATCAATATCGTAGACATGGAAGTTGACCTCTTTTTAGTTGTACGATTTATAAATATTCAAAAACGAGCATGGAAGAAAATGCGTGAGTTATTAAGTGTAGATGTTTTGAAGTGAAATCAAGTGGAAAAGTGCAAATTTCTTTTATAGCCATACACCTATTCTCCATGCCTGTCATGTCAGTGATGATAGATCAAGGTCTATAATATGTATTATTATTTTTATTATATATTTTTTTCTTTGTTCGCCCTGTTGTTCATGGACTTCTCTTCAGCAAATATCTCTCTCTGATGTGACTTAATTTTATACTCCGTCACTGGGATGTCATAGCTCCCATAATATATTCTAATGCCATTTTTTGCATAATAATGCTTCAGAAAAAAATGGGTCTTTTATAGAAGAAATATGGGGAAAATAAGGATTGATTTCTATGTCTCTTGAAGCTGAAATATATTATACTAAACCAACTCTAATAATGCTTCGTGTTTTTCTGTCAATGATGTTCCAGCTTTTATGGATTATTAAAGTACATTTTAGTACATTTTCATTATATTGGTCAATGTATTTTGTGAATTAAACTTTTATCCAAAGCAGATTTGACTTATTTGAGAAGAGTGTAATTAAACGTTTTTTTTGCTTTTATTTAAATGTTTGGAAACTTGTACGAAACAAAAATAAGGAACTTGTTGGGAAATGTAAGTTATTTATTATAGAGAAGATATTACTGTACAACTAGCCAATTCAAACCGGATCTTTTATCCTTTCAGATTCACCTTACTGTAGTGTGGTCCGTAGGTTTTTGTGCATGTAAATGGTCTGCAAAGGGTACATTCCCAAAGTTCAAAGACACTCCCACCCCCCCTGCCTGAAACACCCCGATTGGACTCATTTATTTATTTCCCTAACATAATGACATCACTACATAACACATTTGCTTCTGTTGCCTAGCGCTCCAGCACATTGTACCTGATAGGCTTAGTGTCAGGACATCTCTAAGCGGTTGACCAATCAAAACAGCCGACCAGCTAACCAATCAGAGCAGACTGGGCTCTGGTTTCAGACAGAAGGTGAAAAGTGGTGCTGCAGCACAGGCATTATGAGATAAATAAAGAGCTTTTTGAACATTAAAGCTTGCAAACATGTCACAGTAGAGACAGAAAATACAAATATGAGCCTGAAAATGAGCACAATAGGGCCCCTTTAAGTGTATGATGCTCATGTTTTGCCTTACTTGTAAAGACCACTAGGTGTCAGTATAGGTACATAAATGTATCCCACATCTAAAGCCTGCATCCTATCACTTAGTTATATAATGTGACTATCAGGGGGGAAAATAGGGCATATTTTTCATGACAATAACGCAAACAAAGCGTGGTTAGTCAAAAGAAGGAAGGATGGTATATATGGCCATCAAACCCCACAGTCTTGCTGGTGCTGTGCACACCGAGCCCCCACCTGGATTATTTATTTGTCCTCACCTGATAGACAGGATTTACTGTAATCTTCTCCTGGTTATTACAGTTCAAAGGAAAGCAGGTAGGATTTAAAAATCCAGCTACATTCAATGAATATAATATGATATATTTTCTTGAATATTAACTGGGTGAAAAATAAGTAAAATTGCACCCCTAAACATCAATGGTGGATTTTATTTTGATTTCAGCTTGAACTGCATGTGTAATCATTAACAAATCAAAGCTTGTGTTTATTTACCAAGAATTGCAACTGTGAATATACTTTGAAAAAACTAAAGGCATCATTCCTCCTAAAACTGTATTGGGGTAATGAGACACCTCAGAGCTTTTGTACACGTCTGGTATGACCAGAAATCTAGCTTACATTGAAACACAATGCTTTTGCAATAAACATCTTACATTTTATACCTGGCCACAGAGGCAGCAGCTCATCAAAAGTGATATAGACTCGCTTTGAGTTGATATTTCTTAATTATTTATCAATGGGTGCCTATACTGCCTATAAGGGCTTGGACAATATGGATACCATCCTCCACCAAGTACTACCTACAGTAGGGGCTGTAGGGCTGCATTATTGATTATTTTTATTAAATAATTTCTTATAATCGCTTGATCTTAAAATATTAGAGAGTAGGGAGAAGTCTTTAAATATGTTGTCAAGCCAAAGGATTAAAACGTACTGAATCATCATCTATGTTATCAAATCTGGTGACTATTAGTCGAAGATCAAAATAGATGATTATTTTTTACCAATGGTTTTCAGCTCTAAAATTGTGATTATTCAACATGTCAAATCATGGCTTAAAAAATACTGCAATGAATCTGAACAAAGTAATCAAATACAGCCATAACAAACATAGATACCTCAAACGGTAAAATGGTAAATGATATGGTACATACTGTGTATTAAAATCCACCCTTCTTTATGTTATATTCTATTAGTATAACCACTTGTGTCTGAGTTTTATCGAAGTTTAAACAACCAGCAGCCCATGAGCACAAGTCTTTTAAACTAGATTTTTCTAGAGGAGAAATGAAACTGCTGCATCATCTAAGCTCCTTATGTCTCAGAGGGACGTGTGAAGCAGAGAAGATGCTAAATGTCTGCTGCTGAGGACGGTGGACGGGATTAGAACGTGTGACTCACTTCTTCTTCTTGTTTTTTTTACTCTTATCACCTACACTGCAGCCTTGATCGGGCCCTTAATCCCTTTAGTGTTTGAGAAGCGGAGTAATACCAAAACACTTTTGCATGTATTATCCTCTCTGTGATATAATGCCTGCTGTCATCCTCCAGACTCCCCCGGTCTGCAGTTTCTTCAGCGTCTCCCCTCGGAAAAGCAGAAGGATGTTTTGGTACCAGGTGGGCTTGAGTCAAATCAAAGCACTCTCTTTCTGAGTCTTAGAAATGTGATCCTGACGAGTATACAGCTACTGGAGCCTGGATAAAACACGGTATAATAAGCTCAATATCTTCATGCGTTTACTCCGTATGACCAAAAGTGAATGGACTCCCCTGTCCTCATTGTGTGCTTTGGTGTGGGGCTGTCATGATTTGGAGAGGCTACTTTGTTTCAATTTTGGAAATCTTAATGCCACAACAAACTATAATATGTGCCTCCAATTTTGTGGCAACAGTTTAGGAAACAACTACCTCTACCTGTTTAAACATGACAAAACCCTGTTTTACAAAAACTAACAGCAGAGTTCCTTCCAATTGGACATTGGCGTTGTTGCAGTTTCTACCTTTCGGTTTTATCTTAAAGGTCACCTATTATGCTAAATCCACTTTTTCATGTATTTCATACATACATGTGTCCCCTTTATCTAATCTAAAGAGATTCTGAAAGTTTCAGGAAAAAATATTTGCTCACTTTTTGTCCTGATCCATTTATCTGAAAATGAGCTGATCATATTTTGGTCACTTTATGTCATAACGTTTGTTTGGCTTGTGTAGAGAGAATCAGCACTTTTGAAACAGGGCTGAAACAGAGGGGATTATGGGATGCTACAATGGGTGATCTGTTTGGTATTTGGAGCCAAACACTTCAGAGACATGTTTTGTATATATCTGAGAGCTATAATATATTGATGAAAAACAGTCAAATAGGGACCTTCAAAGCTTTTTTATCTGAAGCTGACAGACGTGTCCATAAAGCCATAGCTTATACATCACAGCTTTACCACATCTTAAAAATTACACTTATCAATGGAAAATACAAAAACAAAGAAGTCACCAAACTAAATATTGGGACGTACTCTTCTTAAAGAAGACTTTACCATCAATAGATATAACTATTGCGGCCATTTTCCTATGATGTAGAAATAATGGGTAATAGTGTGTTAAAAGCACTAAGATTAAGCAGACCTGTGACATCACCAGTTTAATTGATGCAGCTGAACATTAGCTGGTCACGGAAAGCTTCTCTTTCCATCTATCTGCTCTTGATAAGGGTTTTATAGCTAAAGACTTTAAACTGCAACAATTCCTCTGTCTCCTATAGAGTAACTTGGATACAGTTGTTTTCTTTTTCTGTTTGACTTCTGTTGGATTGTCCTCCACGTCATCAAACATCTTTGGGAAGAACCTGAGGGTCCTACCTTACTCAAGCTGTTGTTCCTGTTCTGCAGTGCGGTCCAATAATCCTGTGGAAAGACTTCCCAGTAGAGAGGAGGCTGTTATAGCTGCATATGCATGTGGAGTGAGAACTTTCACACTCACATATGAAATATCTTGAAAACTATTTGACAAGTTGCCATGATGTTCATGTTCACCAGAGGATGATCTGAAGACTTTCATGGTTTTCTTCTGATTTTGTGGGACATTTCTCAACATCTTAAAGTGGACCTATCATGCCATATTTGAATAATATATTGTAGGGCCATACTTATATAAAATATGTCTGTGAAGTTTTTTTTTCAAAATACCAAACAGATCATGCATTCAAGCCATGCCTCATATCGCTCAATTTGCTCTTTTTTAGCCCTGTTTTTGCAAGGGCTGATTCTGTGAGAAGTCTACTTCGCTGCTTTGTGGAAGACTACAGCGCCACCTACAGGCCTGGCATATGTACTACAGTGTCTCCAGCGCTTTCAAACGTCAATGGCCGTGGGTGTCTCCTCCTGATAGGTGGAGAGTTGCCCATATAAGCGGAGCTCCTCGTTTCAGTCTGTATCAGATCCGTTGCAGCCCCGTTTTTAGAGATTTGGGTATGGAAGAAAAGAGAGAGGGTTGTGTTTTCTGACACTTGGTGAGTTCCCTGACACACCGGGGACACATATTCATGTATAAAAGACGTACAAAAGTGCATTTTGCATGATAGGTCCCCTTTAAGATAAGACAAGATAAGATAAGAGGCACTTTATTGATCCCAAATTGGGAAATGTTTGCTTTGTAGCAGCATAACAACCACAGAACAAAACAAGGCATTGCACATAAGTAGAAGAGTAGAAATAAACAATACTAGAATTTAAACGTCTCAAAATAGAATTAAAACAGCATTAAAAAGTAGAAAATAAAGAGTAGACCGTGAAGATAAAACAAATCTATAAACTGACAATAAAAATAAAACACCATTGAAAGTGTTTGGAAGTAAATGGCATGAATGTGACACAGAAATATCTGCCCTCATTTAGACTCATTTGAGTCATCATCTGTTGCAAAGTTTGAATTTGTCCAGATCTTGTTTTGTTGACAAAATACCTGCTAAACCAATACATTTGCATCAACTCGCCTGTACTTCAAGACGGTAACGCCCTCTTCTTCAGTGGAAAATATATTGTTTTCCAGGTGGTGCTGTTTGTCAAAAATGCCCTTTTCAGGCATCTGAATTACATCTTCAACAGAGTTTGAGATCTTAATTGTACAATGGCGGCATAAAACGGGCAATTACTGGGATGGATGAAAACTTAAAAAGGGGCCTCAAAACAACAGCAAGCTTTGATCCATTAAAGGCCCCTGAACCTATTATAAAAGATTACATATTTCCGCTGTAATGTCATCCCCCTATCCACACACACACACACACACGCACGCACGCACGCACGCACGCACACACACACACACACACACTTTCTCATCTTCCCCTCGCCAGATCAATTAACAGATTAATGGT